AGAGAATTTACGAGAACACTCCAAAATAGTTCACAAGCCCAGAACAAATTACTTGTCAGCTGAATATCGACTTTCCCATCGAATCATCAACGAGTGGAATTCATTGCCTCAGCAAGTGGTTGAGGCTCCATCCATCGACTCTTTCAAAAGAAAGTTGGATCAAATGAGAGACCACCATTGCCAGGACTAACACAGGCCATCAAGCCTCCTGTCCTTCTCAACCTGAAACTGAATTTTCCTCACCGGACAGAGATAATGGAGAGCAAAAAATTGTGTCAACAACTCAGTGAAAGTTTTCAATTATAACCTGGATTTTTACTGAGAAACAAGCCGTAAGGACCTAACATCCTTATTATTGACGACGAAAGAAAACGTTTAAACCAACGTGTTCCCGCGCTTCATTCAATTGCAACAAGGTAGGATGGAAGTGACCTCTTGTTCGGGATTATTGATTGATTGTTCCTCTGGATCAATACGTTTATTTTCGGCAGCTATTTAGTTGAAAGCTAATACAACTGGAAGTTTGTACGGATCTCGTTCGGGGATTTACTACAACAGCAATCCCGCCAACTGATCGAGCTGCCCATTACACTTCTTAGCCGGTTTAACTATCCGGTTTTAGTTCCAACTTTAAAATTGTATTAGTTTGAGGCATGTGCTATTTTCGACTGTTATTGATTGCATTCATTAATAAGTGTAAGTGGGTTGTGCGCGCTCAACGTGTCGGCGAATCTTTACTTTTGTTCTCTAATCCAGCTATCACTCATTTAATTGTTTTATTTTGAAACATAGATATTGGTACGAAAAGTCAAGAAGTACAAATGCGCCACACAAATCTCATTTGGTATGTGTGAGGGCTGTGATACACCCCGTGTGCCTAAACTGAAACAGGTGGTTTTTAACGGGGCCACACCCGGAGCCTTCGATCTAAAGGTCTGATTAACATGGCGGTGAAGCTAATGCTATTTTGATTGTTTCTTCATTTTGTTTTCACAGTTTTTACTACTAATTAGATATCTGTCTAATATATGAGCAGATTTCATCTACCGTGGAACACTTAAAGTTATAATGTTTTTTATTTCCTCCTTTCAGTTTCTACCTGCCACCAAATGCTTTTGCTGGCCAAAGTGAATGGAATCTGCACATGTATGTTGTAGTTTAACATATTAGACATCAGTGTAATTTTTGAGGTACTGCTTGTAAGTTCGGTTACTCCCTGAAAACTTTGTGATCGAAAAAGACAAATAAAGGAGAAAGTTAAAGAAAATCAACTAGTAGGAAGTCAATATTCCTGTTTTCCCTAAAACTCAGTTATCCAGCTGGGTAGTTGTATAAACCAGTCCTAAGTCTTAAACCCATCTCTACTTATTATCAATGATGTTTAAGAGGCTACGTTATGTCAGCATCTCCACTAAACAGATTTGGATTTTGCAAATTTTTTGCTAGATTGGTCTCTAAAATGTCAGGTAAAGAAAGTGGAGAGCCCTATCGACCGTCAATTGGGATGGCCAATTCAGATGACAGGTTGCCATATGCTCCTAATCAGTAGAATTCGAAACGTTGATATACTTTTTATGCCTTTAAATGACAGCGACTACCATAAATTATGTTGACCAGAAAAGGCAAATGAAGTTTTCATGTTAAGAGCATCGGTTTGCTTACACCCATAAAGTTGACTTGGAGTGGATATTTAGCCAGCTCACTCATGTCTAAAACCAGTTTAGTTTCACCGCGGATCACTGTCCACAGCCTCCAGTTTATCATTAGGCTGTTTTCGAAGCTAAGGTTTCGAATACAATATTGGTAAGATTGATTTCTCTGTAGCTTTCATAAGAGGACTTTTGTCGTTCCTGTAAACAATCAGTACTCTTGAAAAAGTTATTTCACGAGTCTAGGTCTTCTCGAGTCATATCTGTCTTTTCTAATAACATTGACACTGCTACTAGTACTACTCTGGCACCTCGTCCTGACGTGTGGTAACTCAAAGCCATACACATGTGCCAAGTTGTACGTTGAGTTTGGTTGACTGAGTGTTCGCGACTGACCTGATAGAATTACCTACAGCTACCAGGTTACTGGTACAGTACCTCAATCAATGTAACTGTTGGCACTAAACGTCTATCCATAAAGGAGTTTGTAACTAATCCATCAAGGTTAGGTCTCACTGTTGAGAATCTAATATCAACTTAACCGCAGCCCTTGATGAAAATGGGTAGCTGGAAAGTACCTGTCCCTCAAAATATCCTGTCTTTCCGGTATTTTGGTCTGAAAACATGTTTTTCAAACAGTTCTACTGATAGGTAACTTTAATTAAAGTTTCTCATGCTTCTACATGGGGTGTGGCTCCCTAGGAAGATCGCCGCTGTGGGCATCCGGACAGTATCCTAGCTGTCACACAAATCGGAAGATTTATGTGTAGCATTTCTATTTAGTCCCTCCTTGTACCAATGTTTATGTGTTTAAATAAATAAAGCTTCCACATAGTTGTGTAGGGTCGCCTATTGTCATTACCTTTCTTTGTCACTTATTTTGGTTTCCTATCATTGCTGCATGTAGACTTCTTGTTAGTCTGCTTTTAATTTTCGTTGATGTGTGTAGGTCACTTGGATGAGTTACTAAGGCGTTATCAACTTAGTGGAAGCTTCTTAACCCCATTGGGTCGTACTAAAATTTTCGCTTAGTTTGTTAACAAATTTTACTGCTATTTTTATAAAAATTGCTAATGTCCTTGTGTTAAGCATCATATTTGTAGTCAACTTTAATAGCTTGATTGCTCTGCCGTAAATACTTTCCTTACATTTATATCTTATACCTGCTTTCAATAAGATCGTTCGTTTCTGCGGAGACTTAGGGTTAACATCTTGCTATTGACCATCTAAGGAAGTTGGTATGTTGCAATAAGCATACACTCCTTAAAGGTTGTAACTGAATATTTCTCAAATTATTTGAGATGGGATTACTCCTGGAATATAAATTGATATCAATTCTTAGTGCTTTTGTCATAAAACCTATGAAGTCTGTTGCTTAGTGAAAATTACAGTTATAATGTTTCTTTTTGTACTATAGGTTATAAAGTAAGTATTGGCAAAAGCACACACCGAAGTTTATTGCCTGCAGACTTACGAGCTAAAGGTTATCACTCATTTGACCCTCAATTATTCTAGTAAAGGCAGTTTTACTCTGAAACAGTAGACATCAAGTTAGGAGTTGTGAAAGATGCCATGTATCACAACCATAACTCCGTAAATTTTTAACACTGCAGTTATCACAAACTCAGTTCTTAACCAACCGAATAAATCTTATTCCTGAATCCGGACTTCATTCTCGTTGTATCTTTGTGGACTTTTTAGAATGAGCTGTATTCTTATTTGAATACTTATAAATGGTTTCACATTTGACGCAAGATGGTTTGTATGTATTGTAAATGATTATATTGGTTCAGTGGTTAGATTACTTAAAGGTTTGATAAGACCTGAATGAAACCTGGGTTGATTTTTATAGAACTGATGAATTGGGCTAGACTCTTATTTAGCCTGTTTCACAGTGAGGATATGTACATTGATCTACCTGCCATTTTTTCCACTTTTCAAGGTTCAAGATATATAATGTTTTGGGAATGGCTGAAAGTTTGAGAAACTTGCCTATTTACAAGAAGGATAGTTTTACTCAATTCGTCCCTCATTCTCGAAGTACTGAATCCCGAATCACTTACGTTTGTACCTCCAGCCGTAATCGGTCGTGGGTCATTAATGGAGGTCGGCATATGTTTTATGATTTGAGTCTTGATAGCAAAAGGGAAGAGTACATTTCTTCTCAGACGGGGAAAGATGATGTTGAGTGTCCTCCAAATAAAATCCCTCGTCTAAGTGCTTTGTAATTTATTTATGCCGTATTAAAACCTTTTATTTTGTAGATTATTTATTGTATTTTATCTACTTCAGATATCTGTAAATATTTTAAAACTCAAATATTACTTATAAAGTTTTTTCTTTACTCCTGTTCAAATGGGTAACTTAAAACACTTAATGTATTTACTCAAATAACTTACTAAATCTATCCTCTATGTTGTAATGCAACCTGTGGTGAGCCTAATAAATCTATTTTAATTTGGATTTGTTTTTTATGAATTCGGCAGTAAACCTATCTTAGGGCTGAACAGTTAATTCATTGAAATCGTTAGTCAGTTCTGCCATCATTAGATTAATCACATTTTTGCTATCAACCCAGGTATAAGCGATTTATATGTTAAATAAATATTGACGTACTCATGTGTTTAAATGTAAATCTTAGTTCACCGTCATACCTTAAGTATGTACACTGTTATACCTGTATCATGTGTAGTAGACCACTGACAAACTCAATGCCAATATTAGGGGCTGGATTCTACCTAAAATCGATAAAACTCTAAGACGTTTCTACTCACCCCAATAGGTTCCCTCCTTCGTAGTTATTTCTTTTCGGTTGTTAACAAACTAGAGGTTATATTGGAATTTTGATAAATAACTGACAGAATTATGTTCATAAAACCGTCAGCCGTGCAATCAACTGGCTGATTCCATTGGTCCAACCACAGTCGGTGGTTATGACGTGTTCTTTTAATGCTACTAGCATTTCAGTTGGAATAAACATTCCATTTATAGCGTCTCGGTCTCTTTTTCGAATATATCTTAAAACTGTAAATTAAACTGATACCTAATTTACTCAGTCATGTGATCTAACACTACTATTTAACCTAACAATTCATTTCTCCAAATTCCCATTTACTCATAACTCATGCTCAACTACAACGACGTCCAGTGATCATTTTGCTGACTCGATGATTGTTAGTAGTGCACAGGAAACAGTGCAAGTGTAACAAATGTCTAATGAACATAAATATACTTAGTAGCTCTGTTGGTTTACGATTACTGAAATGAAATTGTAAAATCGAACACATCACTATCACGTCATTATTCTTCCTTTCGAACGCTGAAATGCTAGTGACTTCGGTCAGTGCATACATTTTTCAGTAAATATAAGCTTTAATTCCGTACAGTGTTATCGGACTATTTGAAATGACTTCGTTAACAGAAGCCTTAATTTCTTATCATTAGGAGCTTCTTAAGTTATTGTGGTATTTACAACCCATTTACTTTATAATAAAAATTCGAAAACAAATCTGCATACTTCTTGAAGGTAAATACGATTTTTTGGCAGAATGGTAGTCGACCGGAAATGTGATTGAGGATGGTTATAAAAGTCTCGGGAACCAGTCGGACAAGATGGCCTGTAATTATTAAAGCGAATCGACTCAATTCTAACGACGTTTGTTAAATAGTGTCACACTTGAATTAGAATTTAGGCATAAGTCCCACTTACTGACAACAATAATTTGTGGAAGACAGTATCAAAGATGCAAGTTACATCCTTTACAAGACTAAACAGAATTGCCGTGGGACTTGTTAGTCAATTCAAGTACAAAGTTAATACGCATTTGATGAAAACAACTCAATCAGGTTTGTTAAGAATACAGAAAAGAGTGGTATTTTGCTTCATGCCATTGGTGTTTTAGCGAATAGTTGTTCGAATGCATTATGTATTTCTGGCAACATTTGCGTAGTTATCATAGAACGACCGTATTTAGCGTATGCCAATTGTGAACATCTTCGTGTAAGAGAACAAGCTGCAAATGCAGCTCCAATAGTAGCTGTAAACAGTAGATTCCTAGAGAATTTTAATAATGGAAAAAGAAACAAAAGTTATGTGTATATAATCATAAACAATGCAGTACCTAGTACAAATACCAATTTGCAACAACACACCAAGAAATAGTACTAACTAGACCTCGTTACTTATATATATATCAAAGTAAGTTTACTACTGTATTATCAATTTAGGTGGTAAAATCCATCATGTGTGTGCAAATTCGATTTATCGTGCTAAAAATAAGCACACTAGGAAGAAAGAAGGAATGAAAAATGAGAACAATCGTTCCAATAATATTGGAGAAATGGAGAGAAACAATTGCATGAAATAAAAGTAAAGATTAATACGATGTTTAAAATTTTAATGGACAGATTTGTATGTGAAACTTAGACTAGTCTCATGCTACCTCAGTTCAAGCTTTTAACCACTGATAACGGAAGTCTCATATGCCACAATGTTGACGTGTCCTGGATGTTTTTGTTTGACCGTTCTAATAACTTATACATTCAAACCTTTGTTTTGTAAAGAAGGCTGGAGCGACTAAAATCTGGAATATTCACATTTCGTAAATCGAGTGGCCATATCCTACCGACAAGAAAATAGTATCGAATGAACCTCATCGGACTAGACTCAGCTTTCAATAAATATTCTAATGTCTAATTCATGCAAGAGACGAAGTAGGTATGCTAAACCCGAAGGAAGAATCCTTGTTAGAGCTATAATTACATCGTCTATCGACCTATCTAGATAAGTGGATTTACTAGAATACTTAATATCATTGTTAGGACCTCTTACATTTAAACTTGCAATAGATAAGAAGTCATGAAGGAAAAACCGAGCCATCCTCTTTAAAATACTGAGTTTGGTTCATAATGTCATTCAGTTGATTATAGGATTAATATTCTGTGACTTCTGTTGCATTTACGTGGATGTACGTTTTTGGACAGATAATACATGACAAACTCTGGAGAGGTTAAACACTGGTCTCAAAGGTTCCCAAGATAAAAACATATGAGACATCCTTGACATCGGTAGATAAACACAAAATTCGAAGCATTTTATTATAGTCTTAGAAATAAATAGCAACACTTCAGAATTTTCCCCCAAACTCCTTGTCGTCGGATTTGCAAGTGTTGTAACCAGGGTTCACGAAACGTTTATTACTTTGAATGAAATGCCTTAGCAACAGTCATGACAGTGTAAATATATCATCCACTGAATCCTTAATAATTAAAGATTCCATGTTGATATAGTTCTAGTCAACTGGATTCTTTCTTTTATTGAACTTATTCGACTAAATTAGGTTTTTATACTATTGAGAAATGTGTAAACTTGAATTGTCAAAACATTCGAATAAATTCCTAATTATTCTTTGCCTTTTTATACACACTGACATACCACCAATATTAACATAGTTAAATGGCTTAGCTATTTAACTTCAAATGGATGCTTAAGGTCAGCTCCATATTCGATTTGTACAAATGGGTAGAAATATTAATCCATTACACCGTAAATATGTCCTACATTCTAGAATGTGAGCAGGTAATTAGCTTGTGCACCCATGATAAACATAAAAACAACACAGAGACGTTTCCATTTTCATGTTTCACATGAGGAATGTAAATTGAGTACATTTATAACGAAGTACGTCATATGCTTGATATTTTATTGATTGCTAAAAAGCAATTGTAACTTACGGATTGTTATCGTTAAGTTGGTGAAACCAGTAGTTGAAGACTGACATTGTACCAGATAGAACATCGCCCTGTCCACCACATCTGCGGGGTGATCCTTGATCCGCACACTGTACAGCTTTTATTAAATAAAATCAAACGATACGATGGAATGACGAATATAATTATAGTGATGAAACTAAAGAGGTTGGAAGCGAATCTCTAAGTGAGTTCAATATTAATAGGTATGTGTCCATGGGTGAATTTAGTAACAGGATAGCTCTTTAAAAACAGGTCATTTTTATTTAAAATTAGCAATTCTCGAACATTTACTACACATACTTCTGTTGCAACATAATGACCAAAAGGAAAGAATAGTAACATTGAAGGACCAGCAATCTGACATCCCGACCGTTGTTGATACCTTGACGTAGTGGTCGGGATTGCCTATTGTGACGAACCAACCGAGCTATACTGGCTGGAACAACCGTTCCTCAAGGTCCTACCATGTCAGACAGGTCGGTTGAAGAGCGGTAAGACTAAAGGCAACAAACTCAAGGTCCGAAGGCGAAGTCGTACTGCTGACTATACAGAGGTGTGACAGCACTAAGGTGTTTCCTTCAGACAACCAGCATGACAGCGATGCTGCCTTCCCACAAGGAGGGGTGAGGTTAGAAATGGTCGGCCCTAAAAATGCACACCTCGCCTTATCCCATGGATATACGTCTCCGGCGGGAAGGTCTCAACAAGTACGGAGCTAACACAAAAATTACTCACAAAAAGGTCGTATGTGACCGACCTCAAGCAGTTGTCCCTTGGGCACTGCGGTCACGCTCTCAGGTCACTAAGACTACCTCCTATTATTCCTCCTGCATCGACTCTCAACTCAACCACTGATACTGTTACTACCTCTACTATTCTGGGATTTGGTCTGACAATTTCATCCCACTACTCTAATGAGGTCTGATAGCTTGAACAGTTGTACATACGTACTAGGTTTACATTGTGACTGGATGATTGTCTGCTTAACTGATAGATGCTCAACCCATTAGGCCCCGAACAAGATAATGAGTGAAGGCAATTCAAGCGTAGACTATCAAAAGTATATGCAATGATCGGGAACAAAGGTAGGCAGCTAAAGCAAGAGCAATAGAAAATAATTTAGAGTTAGGCAACAGTAATTAACTTTTCACACTTATAACAGAAACAGGTATTTAAAATCAAAGAGTTAGTGGAATTAGTTCTGAAAGAGATGAGAATTATCTGCTATTAATCGAAGAGACGGGAACGATAAAAGAAACACTTCGAAGAACTGATTGCCCGCTCTCCAAATACCTTTCATTTCCTTACCTCCACTAAGTAATCTGAATAGGATTTCAGCATAAGCCTCCTGATTCTTAATAAAGTAGGAAAATCCGTAGCCTATATAAAGTGATGAAAATAAGCATGCTTTGATGGATCAAACCCAGAGATCTTTAAGATTGTTGGTCTAGTTCTAGCTGTCAGATTGACTGGGATATTAACTAGTCTGGGAACTGGACGTAATCCTACTTGGCTAGTTGAGATCGTTGACCACTGTAGTGTATGAGTAGAGACATTTTTTGATTAAAAAGAGGAGTCAGTTTGAATAATATATAATCTAAAGAACCAGCCCAAATAATTATCAGGACCCATAATAGGAACCATGGAGAAGAATATTGGGAAATTTAAACTTTATGATAATCATTCAACTTATTCTTGCATTATCTCATTGCGTGTTTAAAGGTGATAGGAAAAATACGTCAGTCCTTGGAAACTATTACGACTGCACGAAGCGTTTAGCTAATACTATACAGAGGCTCTTCTGAGCGGCATACATAAAGAGATGCATCAACATCAAGACATAAGTAATAGAAATTAATACGCTTACAGAGGATTCACAGTAATATATTGAACTCAATTTAGTAGAAAAGTAATAAATTATCAGGAAAATTACTTGTTTGACCATTTGATATAATATCTGTAGGACCTTTATGGACAATGGTGACACCAAGTTTTTCAGCAAGAGATCTTGTCGCATCTTTGGTATCATATGGTTGAGACGAAAACTGAATAAATGCGTTGAGTACATTATTGACATAATTACCACAGAATAATATAATCTTGAAAACTCAACAGTGTTTGGAGTAAGAATAGTTTTATCATAACCTTCTATGAGTGATGGATTTTGAGTAACGATATGTAAAGCATCAGCATCAATGACAATAGGCTTGTTAGAATGCTTGCAATAATCTATCAGCTACAAAGTACTATTATTTAAAAGTAAATGGTAATAAAAACAACTTTTGTAGTATTTTCAACGTTTTCCGTTAGTCCTAGACCAGGTCCAAATGTAATTGCATGAACTCTGTCCATACATTTAGTCGCTTCTGCTAGAACTCCATCCCTAGAAATTAGGTAGTAATATGGACTGTTTATACAGAAAATTACAGAACAGGATGAACGATCAATTCGGGACTATATGACTTGATAACAGGAGAGGAAGAAGCAGAACATACTACATGAACTAAATCAGCACCCTAGAATTTATATTATTTGTGTATGTTAACTTACACAATGCAAAGCACTGATAGCGGAAAAGTATGGTGCTCCAGTATATCTGCTAACTATCAACAATACATGCATGAACTGACTCTTTTGATCCTCCAACTACAGCAATTCTTCCCATTTGACCTTTATGAAGACCATGTGTTAACTGAGGAATAATATTAGCTATGTCGTCAATCATAATACAGTAGTGTAGCCACAAACACCGATTACACCACTAAAAGTAGGAACATCTGTAAGGAAAATCAAATAGGGTTTTTAAGCCAATTAATAAAGTGTTGGACTTAATCGCTTAATAGTGACTTACTGTCTAAAGTGTTCTAGATTCATAGTAAAAATTTAACAGGCGAACGATAAACCTAAGTTGGTGAATCCAATAAAAGACTAGACAGTGAGACTATAATTTATGGAGGACCGTTGAGCAACGCCAGGCTTAGTTTCGGATTGGAAAGGTCCGTCAGTCAGTTACAACGTAGGACCAGGCACATATGTGTATCGGTCCACGTTGCCACACCTCATTAGCACAGCAAGATGAACACCAAATTCATAGAAGCAATTAACTCAATGGTGTAATATATAAAGGAAAGATTGCATATAAGGATATAGTACGACGCTCTTATCTGCTCCCAGTCCAGATGATTAGAACGATGGGTGGAACATTTTAGAGAACGGTTTAGCTGGCCTTCAGCTACTCTACAACTACCCTCCATTCACAGACGGTGTGAATGGAACATTGAAGTAGGTCACCCAACTCTAGCTGAAGTTCAAAAGGCCATAGTCAATTTGATACGAGGAAGGGCAGCTAGTCCAGATGGATTGGCTTCAGAGGCCTTTAAGGATGGTGATCCAATCTTAGTGATTAGGTTGACTAATATTTTAGCTAAAATCTGGGAGTTGGACGTTATCCCATGTGACTGGTCACAATCACTTATCGTCCCAATATATAAGAGAGGGTAAAAATCATCCTGTGAAAGCCATAGAGGGATTAATTTAACTAATATAGTATCTAAAATACTAGCCTCGATAATTATCGGACGCCTAACTGAGACTCGTGAACTGCAAACACGAGAGAATCAAGCTGGCTTCAGAACTGGCCTTGGCTGCATTGACCACATATCCACTATTCGTCAGGTTCTAGAACACAGGCATGCTTATCGGCGTCCGACAATGGTTGTCTTTCTTGACCTAAAGGTAGCATTTGACTCTGTAGACCATGAGATTCTGTGGCAGTGTCTGTCATTGAAAGGCGTACCTCAGAAGTACATGAGGCTTGATGACCTGTGTTAGTTCTGGCAATGGCTGTTTCTCAGTCGACCTAAGTTCCTTTTGAAAGCATCGACAGATAGAGCTTTAATCACCTGTTGGAAGACGAATTCCATTCGTTGATGATTTAGTGGGAAAACTGATAATCAGCTGACAAATAACTTGTTCTCACCTTGTGAACTTTTTTAGTGTCCTTGTAAATCTACTGATTTGGAGGACAAGAAATGTGAGCGCATATCAGATGCGAATTTATTGATAAGTAATCTGAAAATTGTGACCGAGTCACTTTTAGTTCTTCTATATGACGATGGAAATAGGCTTAGTTTAGCCAGTCGAGTATCAAATGGGAGCATTTCTATCCTAGAAATCAGCTTAGTTGCGGTTGCTCGAACCCTTCACAATAGCTCACTGTCTCCTTTTAGGCAAGAACTAGCCGCTTGTATGCAGTACTCGAGTTAAGGACGAGTGAATAGAGTATAAAAAGTCAAAAAAGTTTTTAGCATCGACATACCTAAAGGCTCTACATAATGATCATAGGATTCTAAAACCTTTGGAGGCTATCATACAGCAGGGTGCAGTAGTTTTTAAGCCTTGGTCAACGATGAATTTTAAGCCAAGGTGTGTCTGGGCAACAGGTAGTTCAATGTTATTCACTGTGTATATATCTGTACATTGGGGACTAATATTTATCATCATGCACTTGTAAATATTTGTCGATAACCACCAAATTCTAGACCATTTAAATAATTTCTCCAGGTCATTTCGAAGCTTTAAACTATCATCTTTACTTTTTCTTAAACTACACCCATGGGTGTACTAAATTCATTAGATAGATTTAGAACCCATTTGTCCCTCATGAGGGACAAAATATACGACAGAAGTACATCATATTGTCAACCTTCAGCCCATTAATCACACCGACAGTTGTTATTTAATATTGGGCAGAATCCAGGACTCAGATGGTCAATCTGAATAAAACATCCAGCTTTACCCCCCAAAATGAGTTGATTAAGGAATTCTGCATCTTCATTAGCGATATTAACAGAAGACAGCCAATTCAGCTGTTCTAGCAAAAAGAGAAATGCAACTCACGTAACGTAGCAAAACAGTATAGCGCCAACAATTCAAGTGGTTTAAAATGGTTCTGGACGGAATAGATAAGCCTTCGCTTGACGAGCTTCCGTATCTAATGGGAGTGGATCACCTTCAGAATGCGAAGTCTGCAACATGACCTATATGGACTAGTCTACCCTTTTAAGTGTTAAACGTTTATTGTTTTCCGCCTAAATTTGAAGTCGAGTCAGATCCTCCTAAAATGCCAGCTTATCATCTTGATTCAAACTTCTCGACAAAGTTCCACATCATCAGCGAAAAGTGATGAACGGCAGGACACTCTCTGAGAAAGGTCATTTATGTAAATTGAGAAAATATTTTCCAGTGCTGAACATTGAGGAACCCTACTAGGACATTCTGAAGCCTAAGAAAGAGTGAAGTTTACCCTGACCTTAAAAAGTTAATTATTTAGGTACGAAGTAAACCGACCAATCAACGGTGACTTGATACTTTACCCATCGAGCTTACTGATAAGGCGTATATGACTGGCCCGATTAAAAGATTTTGAGAGGTCAAATTATATGTCACCAACCATCACCTTAAACCAAAGATAGACTATCTGTCCACCGCGGTCATCAGGTTGGCCATTCAAGAGTGACTCCCTACAACCGTGTTGTTGGAGTAAAAAGAAGTTTATGGATAGTAATTAGTGACGTAGACCATCATATAGCGAAGACTCTATAACTTTTACGGGTATTGTGAGGAGTGCTACAAGATGACAGCTTGAAGACTCTCTGCGTCAGGCTGCCTTGAAAATCAATGCAATGTGAGCTAATCTCCGATTTCTGGTATTTTGTCTCAGCTTGGTGAATGTGATAACAGCACAACAAACGTTTTGGAAAAGATTGAAGCCGCTCCTTTCATTATGGCAGAATGAACAATATTCGGACCTGGAGAAATGTCCACATTTTGGTGTTCCAGTATCTGATATTCCAAGTCTGAGCTCATGTTCACTTCTGGGAGTCCTCCTGAATTACAGGCGATGCTTGTCGTTGGCGTGGTTTTTAAGGGGCGGTTACAAGTTTTGTTAATACTGTTCTGTCAGAAGGTCGACGGCGTCACCATCGTTTTGGTTGGAACTTCATACTTGCGGAACTTTATTTTCGACTTGTTGAAGAGGGGCTTCATGATGAAATAAGCTTTTCGGACAGGAGAGAAATTTATCAATTCGCTTTATCTGATGCTAAAGCCTATTTTATTGTCCGTATGCATTGGTTTCGTTGCTTGTTTGAACTGCCTATTTGTTCCATTGCCACCAGTTTGTTTGTAATCAATGACGGGCGTCTGAAGGCTTGTCAAAAGACACATAAAATTGGGCACATCCAAGCTTAGAATCCTCAGGGTAGGAGGAAAATAGACAGACGAAAAACATGTTATGCCGGGGATTGAATGCAGATATCTAAAGAATGAATAGTGTCTGGCAACATTTGGAAAGGAAAGCTGAGGAGAGTCGGTTGGAGAAGTCTGATCTCAAACTTTGCTCCATGAGAAGTAACAGATTTTCGTGCCTTAAGGCAACCCTCATGCTATTGATAGAAGAAACCAGACAAGTAGTGAATAGGTCTTTATTTCGATCTTCGCGCAGTCACAGTGGAGCGTGGGGTTATTTATTCAGACAAACAAAGCCTCTCAACATTCAATATAAGATAATGGGGAATATAACACCTATACAAAATAAGGAAGTGAGTAAATACTTGAACTATACTGTTCAGGGAAATGCTTGGTTGTTTGAGGTCAACTCTTAATCAACCAACCTAAGCTGTTACAAGATGTCATTAATGTCTTACCACAGGTAATGTTCTTTTCTTACGCTCATGTCAAGCGATTTCCCCTATTTCGATATATCTAGTAACTTCAGCCCTGTTGAACACTTTATCCACTTTCTTCAGTCATATACTGGTCATACAACCTGAAACCTGGTTGTAATTAAGCTCTTGTTCAGTGCAGTGACAGCCAGCAGTTCCAGCATTCCCGTTTATCAAGATAAGCTTCAGATATCTTCAGAATAAACTAATACTCAAATACTCGGGCAATAGATAATGACACTTCGACCGAGTGAATGGACGCTATAGTAAGTCCTGTCTTCAAAACAGGTACGAAACACAAACCTGAGAATTACTGACCCGTCAGCCTAACTAGTATGGTTGTTAAAATCTTAGAAAAGATTATTCGGAATGAGCTGTTTAAGTACCTCGATGAAAACCGTTTCCTTTCGGAGGAGCAGCATGGTTTCAGAATAGGTTACTCTTGTCTCACTAACTTATTAGTGGCTCGTGGAAGCTGGTGAGCTCTTAAGGACCAAAAGTTACCTTTAGACGTAGCCCACATTGACTTCAGCAAAGCTTTGACCAAGTTCCGCACAACCGGCTGTTATGTAAGTTAAGAAATGTCGGGGTTGGAGGCAATCTATTGGTGTGGATAAAAAGACTTCCTAGTTGGGCACCAAAAAACTACAGGTGAATTCCAAGTCGTCTAATTGGAAACTGTGCTTATTAGTGAAGTGCTCCTGGGTACAGTTTTGGGGCCAGTGTTATTCCTCCTGTTTTTGAATGACATTCCTCCTATCATCATTGGTCTTGTTATATGTTGACGATATCAAGACATGGAGAGCTATAAGAAGTAAAGGTGATGGCTTAGAACCGCAAAATGATCTGGAGAAATTATCTGAATGGTCTCAAACCTAGCAGCTGCCGATAAATACTTCAAAGTGTATTGTGATACATATTGGTCATCAAGGTACAGATGCATGCATGATGAGCTACCTATTGTCCAGATACACAATAACTTAGGGGTCATCGTTAGCCAAGAATAAAGACTACTTCACACTGCCGTGCAATAGTCACCAACGGTTTTAAAACTTTATGGTCAATATGTAGGGTTTCAGTCATGTCGGCGCCAAAGCTTTTTTTAACTTGCACACAGTGTTCGTGAATCCTAAACTTGGGTACTGCATATAAGCGGCTAGCCCTTACTCAAAAAGTGTACTTTTAGGAGAGGTTCAGAGAACATCAACCAAGCTGATTACAGGAATAGCGAAGCTCCCGTATGATGGTCGACTCGCCAAGCTAAATCTATTCCCGTTGTCACATCGAAGAACTAGAGGCGACTTGATTACAGTTTTCAAATTGCTTAGTGATAAATTGCACCTGATATGCCCTCACTTATGTTTGATGTGAACATTTGCAAAATATGACACAAATATAGAAAGAAACGCAATTACTGAACAGTTCACATACATTTTTTCCGTTTTTATTGAGAGTTTTAATTTTGTGTCTTTGTAGTAATTTCAAACTCCTTGGAATTGGCTAAATAATCCAAGGGCTAATCGGATGATAATTTGTAACAGAAATAATAAATGACCAAACACTTGAAATGATTGAAAAGTGCTTTTCAAGCATGCAAGAACCATTCATTCTAAGTCAGCTGCACGAGTATTCAAAAATCAAAGGATTTTCGAACGGGAAGTTTAGTCCTAACGTGATTTGCATTTATCAAACTTTTGCTGTGTTCTTACGCAACAAAAGTACCATTTCAGTTCTAAAGAATCTATCCTGAGCTATACGTTCGGTAGATTACTTTTTTTTGAGTCTCACTATATTAAATAGTTACCTGTGGTTTTGCCTCAGCTTACTATTCGGTTTTTTTTGTTTTTCACGTATAGACTAGTTTCAGTTTATATCACTCGTTTTGTCCATTTTTGTCCGTTTTCAGTGTGCTTTTTAGTGTTTTTTTAAAAGGCTTAGGCTCTTGCAAGCATCTATAACATAGTTTGCTTCAACACAGTCATGAAAAACTCATGCAAACGTCCGGGATGCCGTTTTGCTGTCACAACTGGCATGCAGTGCGACAACTGCAAAGGTTGGTTCCACGAAGCATGCACAGATCTGACAGCAACTTCTTACAACAAACTCAGCAAGTCAGACCAAAAGTGGGTATGTGTCACGTGCAGCACGGACGCAGTTGTCTTGCTGAGTAACATCATTGTCCTACTGACAGGTCTTCGGAACAAGTTGTCAGTTAACTTGGATAACACTAGTAAAAAATCCGGTCGACAAACAAGAGCGTGTGACGGACTCAAAAATAGGGATGTCGACAGGCATACCATCGATGGAGCATCCATCAACACTAATGACGACGTGTTGAGGCTCAGCACCATCATTACGTCGACAGTACTAGACTCCCTAAGCAAACTCGGGTCTCCCAGCTCAGGGTCCCTGGACACAACAGTGGTTCCCAAAAACCCTGTAGGTGATTCGACCCACGTTAAGAGAGCCCAAAAGAACCAGGCATCACCGCCTAAGCCGAGCAACCCAAGTGTTGCTGCACGGAAAATAACTGGTGATTTGGTCGCACAGTCTACCCCCAAGACTGTTCGTCCGGTCAATAAAGAGCCCAAGATTCAAAAACGCACACTGACCTCCAAACAACAAGTTATTAAACCTGAACCCATCGTGAAACCTGGTAAATTAACAACAGTTCGTGACGATTCTCTCATTATCATGAACCTCGTTGACAATCCTGACCTTCCTCTCAGTCTGCAGGACAAAAACGACAGGATGCTCTGGGGTGAATTGAACAAGAAGCTTGAACTTCCTAGAATAGAGCCTTTGACGGTCACCCGGCTCACTCGAGGAAAGGATTCTAAGCATCTAAATCACCCGAGGCTTCTCCGAGTAACACTTAAGAATGCTACCGACGTAGAGGACGTCTTGCTAGCAAGTCACTTGCTGAAATCAGAT